GGACTTATCATTCGTCAATGTGACCTGCGCTGGATTGCGATAGACTGGTCAATTATTGACTTGTCGTCTCCCCTATTGAACGTTGGTGTAACTCTCCTATTTATTACCACCATGTCTTTTCGGGCTATCCTTTCGCTAATTAGGATCCCTCTTCTTTCTTTCCCCTACTCGGGATATTTCCCATTGAAGTCTCCTGTCACCAGTACACCTTGTTTGCTTTCTTCCAGTGTTACAAAATGACTCATTTAACGCTCATGCGAACCACTACCGACGCTGGAGAAGTCCCTCGCTCCCCGAAAAGGCAGTCTACCGGTGAAATGCGAACCAAGGGAGCAGATGCACATTTTTTCGTCGGTTGGCAAATGTAACTACACAAAGGCAGTCTAATGTTAGCAGTTCAAATCAAGTGGACCCCTGTGCGCTCATTTTTACAAGTTTGCAATGATAACTTCAAAAGGGAATGACCATCATCAAGGCAACGGGATTCCAGTCAACGGTTGTGGCGCCAGGAGAACACGTGTCCGATTCAATCTGGAAGCCAGCACAAAGGTTTCGTAACTAAATCTAAAATTATTCAAACATTGGTACCAAATTTTAGCAAAGCTAGGTTTTGCAATTAAGGTCATCTATGTATAAAATAGTTATTAGATTCTGTAATAAATTTGTTCATAAATCTTTAAAACCACGTGTTCATACATTAATTGTCATTAGCTATTTGATTCCTATTCATAACTATATCTTCAAATTAGGTGAATCTGAAGTACAAAAAGAGCTACCAGAGTCTCAAAATACCATTCGGGCTTCAGATTCATCATCCAGTATCTCCAATTTATCCATGAATTGTTGGAGTCCATAGTTTGGGGAGACTATCCAACGCGAAGGGAAGGAATGGAAGGATCTGCTTCAGGAAGCTGGATATGGATTTTGGTAAATTCCTCATATTTTCCAGTTATGTAACGGTCTCAGAATGTTATATCGCCAGGTCTAATCAAAAGCTTTTTTCCAGGTCAAATAATACGGTAACCATGTTTTCTTTTGATGAAGGTATTCTGAATTGCGTTTTACAGATATATTTGCTGGTCGATTGTAGAGTGATGTCTGTATCCACACTGATGTATGTTCAGTTTTTTTCTTTCTTTCGAGACACTATATTACCCGGGTGTTGACAATTTTTTCCAAGACTTCCTAGAGAGCACAAAAACTATATCGGTCGATAGTTTTCAGGTCCTAATAGATCCTTGCCAGTTTTTAGTATCGCTTTTTTGCAGACATTGGGGTAATTACTTTGTGTCCAAATGTTATTATATATGTTTAACAAGGTGAATAGTCCTTCGGTAACCGACGTAGTATGCTATAGGGGATATTATCTGATCCTATTGCGGTGTCTCCAGCTGGATTTATGGCGTCTTTCAATTCTCTCCATGTGAAAGAGTGTTACATGGCTCATCTATATCGGTTGTAAAGTTTAGTACTTCTTCTTTTTCTCGATAAAGTCTTTAGGGTAGATTTTTATGTTACTGACTTTAGTGTATTGAGTCGCTAATATTTGGGCTATTTCGACATGTTTGCAGATCAGCTGTCCTTCGTGTTCTATGCATGTGATAGGACTGAAAACATTTCCCCAGCTATTGACCAGATTTCCTGCCATATTTCCGCGACGTCGGTCGTCCGAGTTATGGTTGTTTTGTACTTTTCCCAGTTTGATCGTTTTGCTGTTAATATTTTTCTGCGAGCGATTGCACGCAGGCGCTTAAAGCAATGAGATTGTCTTGTGTTGGTGTACGCTTATATCAATTGACGGTTCTTCTTTTCTTCCTTATTGCTTCTTTGGCCTCCGTATTTCACCATGGTACTGGAATCGTAGATGAGCGGCCACTAGTCTGTGAAATGTATTTTACAGCAGAAGAGATTACAGTGTTGGTGAAATCTGTAATCTTTCTTTGTATTTCCACTGACATTTAATGGTACTATATTACTGGTGAAGCTGGACCAGTCTGCACGGTCGGTACACCAATGTTTCGGTAGATACACTGCGTTCTTCGGTGTGTCTTGATGTATTGTGCACTCATGAATACTCACAACGACCGACACGACCACAGTAGCTTTCGCGTATAACATATATTTATTAACAAAGAAACAAAACAAATATATACACTTAATAATCACTAACACCCTAGCTCTGATAGACCTACTATCCCTGATCGCGGAGCGATCCAAACCCGATTGAAGATGTTTTGATTGTGGCATTCGCCACTCCTACTTTTGAACGCGCACAAAGCCTAGCTTCCGTTGATCGTATTCACGCTTGGACACAAATCCGTTTGGCGCACCAACGGCTGGTTTGCCTCGATCGCAGAGCAATCTTATCCGATTGAGAATCGCGTGATCGTGGCACTCAACCACTCTTCACTCGGAGCACGCACACAGCATCGCTCCCCGTGACCGCAGTCACCCAAGACATAAAGTCCACAGGCTTCGTCAACTAGTGACTCGAGCTCCGAGCCTGGCTCGCATATGCACGTCGTGGCGCCAAGTTTGTGCACACGCACGAGTTCTCCCACTGTCTCCAGAACCCACCATGCTCTGTACCCTCTTTATATAGGCGAGCCCACGTGACTACTACGTCACGCCACCCCTCGCTTGTTATAACAGTGAAAGTTTCTATAGCGCGGATAACTCCAAAGCCTTGTGTCTCCCGTTTCCCCGCTGTTCTTGCCTTTACGGAAAACCCCTTCTTCCTGTGGCAAGGCTAATCCTCTGCCAAGCGTCCCCAAATAGATGCCATGAAGCACGCTGGCTAATACGTTACAATATCAACAGAGGAAAGTGATCACTCTGATGAAGATTTGGCAGTAGTTTCCACGTCAACCGTGTTGCAAGATTTGGACCATATTGTCAATATGTCTATACCGTATTGAAAGATATATGTTATAGACATATTTAAAGATATATGAAAGATATTATAGAGGTTTTTGGCTCAAAGTATGTTGTACAAACTTAAGTCTTTGAAAAAGGTCATGTATATTTTTTGTACAAGTTAGTAGTTATTGCGTAATTTGCGCTTGAGATGTACGATTTTTTTCTCAATAACCGCTCCAAATTTTATTTTTAAATTTTCTTTGCATATGTATTAGAGGATAGTAAGAAATTTGATGTTAATCGCATTTTCGGGTATTGCTTGCTTTTTTCGAAAATGACAATAAATAAATAAAATTATAAAAAATTACAAAAAATAAAAGTATAAAATTGAAGATCGAGGTTTTTGTCTCAAGAAAAGTCTGTTGTACAAAATTACCTCTTTAAAAAATGCCATGGTCATTTTTAACCAGTAGTTTTTGCATAATTTGCGTTTGAATTTTACGAATAAAGTCCTCAAAAACCGCTCCAATTTTTTTCTTAAAATTTTCTCCACGTTTTTAATAAGGGACGGTAATAAATATGGCACTAGTCTCATTTTTGGGTGTTGCTCGACTTTTTTCGAAAATTGTAAAATAATTTCAAAACTACAAAATTGAAGATACTTTTACCTCAGAAAAAGTTTTCTGTAGTAAATTAGCTATTTAAATAAATAATAAATAAATAAACTAAAGGTGCTATAGAATGACACAGACTTTCTCCCCCTAGCTTTTTTTAAAATCTATTTGAGTTGCAGAGCTTATAATGTAAGAGCGCTATTATGAATATGAGTGTGTGAAAGAATCTTTTATTATTACAATATATACTATGGTAGTGAAATTTCCAAAATAAAATAATTTTATTTGTGTTAAATGTGTCCAAACAATAGTGCTTGTAAAGTACCGGAGTGCGATCACCATATTTTTGAAACCAGGTTTTGCTTTGTTTTGTATGAATTCTATTATCTCATTCTATAATCTCAATGTATTAAATATACAAAATTCCAGTCAATCAAAGCCAGTTCTACGTGCTAGTGAGGTGAATATGCCTAACACGGACTACACATGAAATTATGTAATGTTTCAATATAGGTTAGACTTTTATTAAACTATACATTAATTAAAAGTTTTAATTAATTTACTGAATTGCTTACATTATATTATATATTAGTGTTCTGAGTTTTGAAAATACATTTCCGTCATTCGATGGAGCTGCAACCTTCACTTCGTTGAGGCACCAACCGCCAGTGCACAAAACATGAATTCTGAATACAAAACGTGTTAGTGGAAGTAATTTACTATACTCCATAGAAACTAGATTTATGCACTACTTCGTTACGAGGAGCCGGCAATAAGAGTTTTTCTGTGGAAAGTTCGCCATTTTCCGGCGTACGATTCCGGCGACTTTCTCTTCTTACCAAGTAGAGGCGAGACAGAAAAACCATTTATACTCTTTGAGAAAAACAACTTTTTCGTTATTAAATCTGGATATTGATAATCGATTTATCCCTTTTTACACGCCCACCTGCCGATTATCTCCAGCAATACATAAGTTTCTCTATACTACGTATATCTCTCAGTGTATACGTACGTACATAAGAAAGTAATATACTACGTAACAAACAAAGGCATTGCTCTAAATTTAAAATTGAATAATTTGTCTGTCTAAAAAGAAAATATTTAAATCTATTAAGAAAGTTAACAAAACATTTTAATTAATATTAATAATTTAAGCAAATAAAAATGAAAACATATTTCTAATTCAGTAGGCTCTGTAAAATAAATTCAACTCCTTAATTGGAGGTGCTTGTATGTCAGGAGAATGACTCAAACACGGAAGACTATTAGGAGATGAAACTGTCAATAGTATCTAGGAGTACGCAAAACTTTGAATAAAGCCGCGAATAGCATTTAAACACGTGAATAATTTGGTTATTGTCATTACGATGCACATGTACATAAATTAATGTGAAAAAGAATTGATAAAATACCCAAACATATTGCTGCATTTCAAAAATACTTTCGGACTTCTCGAACTCTGAAAAGGGAGAAAACAAGAACACATTAAAAACCAATTGCTAATTGGGTGCTCGGAAGATGCTTGCTGATGCATGACGCTTTTAGCCGTAATGCAGATGCAAAATAAGTCGTCCATTCAGATAGTGGAGTCGATCGCTGTCTGTGCTCATTGTATGTCCCTGAAGAACAGGTATGAGTGGCTGAACACCACTAGCGTCGGGCGCTGCCGAATTTAGTTGAATGGACACATTTCTATTGTAAAAGGTTTTAATGTAAAGGTGTGAAATTTTTATTTTTTGAAATTTTTTGCGCACCATCCTTGACCCGTACTGAGGGTGCTGGAAAAATCAGTACCCGTTTGCAGATATTCAAGTCAAGGTTGTATTTATCTCTTTTCTGACATCGAGAAGAAAGAAAGAAAAGCCAATAAGTAAGTATGGAATTAATTTTCATATTTTACTAGCTGTTGTACCAGTTGTTGACGGGATTTAATTCATTTTTATATAAAATAGCTGATATTTGGCATGCTCTACTATGCTCACAAAGATGATATTTTTAAATTTAATAATATTTACCTTTATTATTTGAGCAGAATAAATAAATGAAATTTTACTTTTTGTCTTGAAAACTGCTAAAAATTGGTTTGTATCTTTTTAACATTTATTTGGTGAAATTCGATATACAAAATTATTATAAACTATTCCATATTAAGTTGTATTGATATAGCAATATAAAACATTTGAAAATTATATAACCATTTGAGAAATTCTTGTAGAACAGACTGACCTATATTAGTGGTTATATACAGGAATCACTAAAGATAATATTCAACCTGTCTGCTTGTTGCAGCCATGGATGTCAGTTCACTAATAGACTTGAATAGTACTCTGGAGGAAGGTGTAACTTCTGTTCCACTTTTGCCACTCCCCAGAATTAATAGCCCTTATGAAGGAGATGTTTCAAATGATGAGAACAACCCATTTGATTGGGCAGTTCAAGCTGTGAGCGACATTGATGATCCATTCGAACTGGTTTTCAAGAAAGCTCAAGAGTTAGAAAGCAAAAAATCTGATCACAGTGCATGTGAAGACACTATATTAAAATGCAAAAAGGTTAAAAATGAGATGGGTGTACTAGATAGCAAAAACTCGAGAGAGATTGGAAACAATGACAAAAAAGAATCAGAATGCAAAAAGGGAATAGCACAATACCAGAACAACCATAAAATTCTGAAATGTATTACTCCTGATGTAGTACAGTCGGCCAATTATTTATTGAGTACACAGGAAAGAAACCAAAGTGATTCCTCTGAGCCGTTGAAGCCCAAGTATTGTAGTACACCTGTGCATCATGTGGCTAGTGCTAAGAGGAAGTTAGAGGAAGAGTACAGCCCTATTTCAAGCAAGAAACCCTCTAGTAGTTTGTTTAATATATCTCCTGCTTCTGTTGTTAAAGCCCGTGTAGAAAAATGTATAGCAGAAGCTGAGAAACGTTTTAAGAAACATTCACAAGAACGAGAAAAACTAAATGGCAGACAAAGTTTAGATTCTCTAATGCCTCATTATGTATATTCCAGTTATCAGAGAGATCTTACTTTTCAGTGTGACCCAAGTTCTCACGAGAAATATTCACTAGATTTTGTAAGTAGTGAAGATTCAAAAAATAAATTAACTCATTCATTCAGAAATTTGCAGAAACCTAAAAACATTGGTAATTTTTCTGAGGAAACTTTCACTCTCTCACATAAGGTAAGAAATAATTGTATCTTAACATGTTTAATAATTCAATACATTACAAATCTCTTATATAATTCTGTCAACTTATCTCTACACATATAATCATACATCCGTTAATGTTCACTATTTAAGTAAAACTGCATGTGTGTTATTTAAATTTTAATGTCTACCTATCAAATAAACATTTTGATCCTAAATTAATTCTATTGATTAAATGCTAGTAATGTATTATGATGCTGATAGTTTTGAAGTTCTCTTTAATTTTATTTCTATTTACTTCTTTCATCTAAATCTTTTTTTTTCTCTTTATATTATTCTTTTGCTTTCTCCTGTTTTCTTCCTTATTCTTTATTCTATCCTTTGAAGAGTAACAGATAAAAAAAGAATGAACTCAAAACAGTATTTTGAGGTCGTCATTATACAGGTTTGTAGATTTTCTGATGTAATCAATTGACATTATTTAACTTTAATTACCATTTGTAATTTTATTCTCAATTCAGAAAAGAAAACATAGAAACGTATAACAAAGCAGAATTTGCAGACCTCTTCGGTAGTTAATGGATGAATCACATCGATCGTATGAATCTTATAACACCATCATACAAATACTGTACTATTTGTAAAAAATTTAATATTTAAAACCAAAAATGGCATGTTGTTATTTCTTTACATATTAATGATTCCTTCATTTAAGAAAACAAAAGCTTTTTTTATCTATTTCATATTCATAATAATTTTAATTGTTTCAAAACATTCATTTTAATATTAAGTTATCGATTTTTAATCATTCATTCATTTTGTAAATTTCAATTTATAGTTTGCAGATGTTGATTTAATTATAGTATTAATTTTTATTTATGACACTTGTATTTCAACAATTCTTATCCCTCCCACACACACACACACACACACACACACATTCAATGAAACCCTGGTAAGCCAATGAATAAAATGCATGATCTATTGTGTTGTAGAAAAACAAATTATTTAGTGATTCTGTAAATTGTATTGTAGGTAGATTCACATGCATTTCGGAGATCATTGGTACCAGAAGATGATTTATCACAACATGAAGCAAGATTTATGGCTACATTACTTAAAGCAACAGCAGACTGTGCGTATTTCAGTTGAAACATTCAAATTTATAATCATTGTGCTTTTGTTTACATTTTGTTTGTAAAGGTGGCAAGTACACTTTTTATGAAAGTCATATAAAGTTCTCTAATAGAACAGCAACAACTGCTTTTTTCTATGGTTAACGGTTCAAATCTTTGTAATCTTACCATCTGATCATTGTCATGGCAACTACAATTCCCAGTGATATCACAACCGTTATCAATCATTTTATAAATTATCGATATATTCTCTGCTTTTAGTTTGCTAAAATCTTATATGCTTTTATCACAAAATTGTTTAAGATATAGTGATTATATGATTATATTATTGATTACATATTGTTATTGATTTTGATGTTAGTGTATTGAGGCAGAGGAATTCTTAATGGCAATTTTCCCTTACCTTAACAATTTGTTTTCACCAGATCAAGGCCATACCTTAGCAAATGAAAGTGTAGTGACCTTTGTAGATTTAGATTCTGAAGAGGAAGATGGATGTGAAGAAAAAAAAGAACTGGAAGAAATAAAAGAAAAATTATCAGCAGAATTTCAACCAACTAATCCAGTGAATTTTGAAGGTAGTTCATTGTACAAAAATAAGATTCAAATTTTAAAGAAAATGTATGTCTAAAATATTGTTCGGTGTGATTCTATGTTCTGTGGAATATTGATATAAGATACTTATTTATTACCTTGAACATATCAAAACTTCTTCAAGAAGCAATGTTTCAATGGTTGGAATGCTCATATATTTTTCATATAACTGACTTCATATGTATTGAATTAATTTCTAATGTTTCAGTGCTCAAAGATCACACAAAAATAAAAATGCCAAAAAGAGTACAAAGATCTCCAGAAACTGTAAGTAAACATTTTTGTGTCAAAAAATAATTTATTAATAGAATTTGTGTTTAATTACTTTGTTTCTAGGCAGTGCCTAATAACTTGATATCAATTAAATTAAAGTACATGAATAATAAATAAATGCTCAGTGTTTAATTTACAGTTCTGTATCAATTCTTTCTCTGTGAATTTTTTTAACATAATTAGTTTTGCAGATGATTCTTAAAAATTGTACTGTGTTCAAATATAACTCATGACTAACATTTTATGTGGGATTTTTAGAAACACGCAGGTCTTCAAAATTCTGTAGCTACATGTCAAGTAAATTCTTTCACTTCTGTCTTTTCATGAGGATTCTGTTTACACATTTACCTGGCACTGGATCTAATTTTTTGACTTAAAACATGAATTAATTTTTTTCTTTTATTATGCTATATAAAAATGTTTATAAAATAGTTTATTTTTAATTTTTGTGTTACAGAAATACCTATTAAGAGTAATTTTTTACCGGAAGTCCTAATTTTTTTCTTGCTTTTGAATATATACTATAGTTCCATTTTTGGAATAGTAGTCTCTAATGGCAGGGTGAGGAACATGGTGTTCAGGAAAAATTTCAACACCTTAATTGTCTTGAAAAAGCTTAATGCATTGAAAGCATATCACATAATGATAATTTTGTTAAGGTAAATGATGTATACAAATTAAGGAGTACATGAAAATGCAAAACAATCAGCATAGGTTGGCACAGGTAAATTGCTTTTGGAGCAAAGTTTCAGTTTTTTCTTCTTACACCCTCCACACTTCTTGGTTTTTGTCCACTAGTGATGAAGTGATATTATCAAACCAAGCTTCTTTGCTTACTCTTTTGTCTTGACTCTTAGCATTAGCTCTATCTCTTGGTGTACATTTGGAGATATGGTATACTAATTCTTCTGGTAAAACCCAACAAATGTAATGGATCTATTGTGCTGTGTGAGGTTAGTCTATACAGCTGCCACTCATTGTTCACACAATTGAAAGGAATCAAAACAATTGTCAATACCATTCGTAATATGGATTTTCATTTGCAATTGCATTCGTTTACAATTAATTGATCTGATATTTTCATCCAGCCTATCCACCCCTCCCATGAAGGTGTCATATTGCTGAACTGCAGTTGGCTGAATAATTCAATGTGTTTTCTCATCTCACGACACCATCTTGAAGCCTTTCCAAAGGGCATAACACACACCCTATTTGAGGCTAAAATAACAACTTTGCTGTCATTGAATTAATTGAGAGATGATCCCGAACAAATGTAAAAATACTCTCCTCTTTTTGATTTACAAAGTTCTTTAGCTTTCTTGAGAGGAGCAACACCAGTCCTATTTTCTCTAATAGTACCAGTGCCTGTGTGTCCTTTGCATTTTAGTTGTTATAGTAGTTTCAATTTTGTATTACTAGGGTAAATCTATTTCTAGATATTGCTCTAGAAATAGCAGCATTGTTGACATCATGCCAATACATCCACCATCGAGGAACAACAGGGTATACACTAATAAGAAAAACAGCAAGAACTACCTTTATTTCTTGTGGGGTGATGCTGAACTTCATGTCGCCCTTTTGGCAAGCATAAACTGTGGAACATAATATAATCATATCAATCACTTCAGGGTCAAAAAATAGTTCAAATAATTCTATTGGTGACATCTTGTTCCAGGAATTTGTCTTTTTCATTTTTTTCACATGCATGGACCAAATCAGTTTCAAACCAATGAAGGTCTCCATGTCCTGGTTTTCTAAGTTTTATGTGTGCCACATTTTTCTCTTCCTTTGATTTCTTGCTGTAATGTTTTGCTCATCAGGAATCGGAACATTTTCAATCAGTTTGCTATTTTCATCTACAACATGGTTAACAATATTTTTTTATTATTTTCCCTTCAGATACAGTTTGAACAACTGCCTCTATGGAGCAAAGAAACTGATTTCCTGACAAACAATTAACATCCCATTCCTCACAGTCTTCATCGCCATTGTCCCAATCTGACAACAAAGGATCTTATAGAGGCTCAATGAAAATTTTGGCTTCTAAAATATCTTTATCAATTTCCAGTATTGATATAATCTTTTCTGCAGTCAGTCTGAAAAGAAAGAAAATAAATTTATGAAAAATCTCAACATGGGGCCCTTTTGCAAACACACTTCCAAAAGTGGAACTTCAAACAATTGTGAAAAATTAAAAAATATAATTCAAAATAAATTTAAAAATTCAAATCCATTTTAAGTATAAGATTCAATCTTCAATAATATTTCACAGCCAAGAAAAATATAATTAATTTGATAACAATAAATAACATGCCTTTCCTAGGAAGTCATTGTCCACTGTTTGGGAAATGTTTCCACCCCAAACCAACAATAAGTATCACAATCGAATGAAATGTTGCTGTTATGTGAGGTAGTTGTATTAACAGAAATATTAATCAAACAAATATACTCTAATATAATCACTTGGTTACGACTTAATATTTTTCACAATTTTCCACTTTTGGAACACTGGGCACTAATGGCTTAGGACTACATTTATTTTAGGTTTCTGTTTCTTTCTTTTTTTTCCTGCTCCCTCCTTCATTCTTTCTCAGTATCATTCTTTCTTTACTTCTTGATTATATTTTACATGTCATACACTAATCTAAAAACTGTCACCTCATTTCCGAAGCCATAAAAATATTTGGTTCTGAACAGATATCTGCACTGTGAAAATTTTAAAGTCTCATTCTGAGTTTAATTTCTTTTTTTTGACTGATTCTACATTTTCTTCCAACCTAAAATTTTACCTTTACGTATATTTTTGAGAAACAAATTGAGCTTTGCGATGTGACAAATAAATTTGGATTTTCATAACAAGATTTCATGGGTATCACTAAGAGGCCAAAAGGGGTGGGGGTTGGGGGATCCATCCCCCCATCCCCCAATTCTTGGTATACAGAGCATATTTCCCCCCCCCCCCCATGTTTTTTTGAAGTAGTATAATTTTCACTTCCAAATAGCAAGACATTTGAAACATTTAATAAAAAAATTCCATTTTCCAGGTTATAATTTCAACAAATATTTTGTGGGATGTGTGCGTGCACGTACATGCGTGTAAGGTATCACAAATTTTTAAGGCTTTGAAATACTAAAGTTGCAATATCCGTTTTTAGTGTAATGGTTCATGTTTTTATTGTGGAAAATACTTAATATTACCTATCCATGTGGATTTTCACAATATTTCTGCAGTAACCTCATACTTCATAAATATTTTTCTTTGGGCAACGGACAGATTATGAAAACTATTGCTATTTCTGTTGACCATTATTTTTTCACCACTTCATTTGTTACTCTTGATAATAGAAACTCATTAAAATAATTTCACAAACTTCAAATCATTATTTCAAAGTTTGATTGTAATGTTTCCTTATTATATTTGGAAATAACCAAAAGTTTTTTGTTTTTTTTGGTGTATATTTCAATGTGGAAATAAGTACAAAACAATAGGGATCAGAGATAGAGGGAGACTACTAATGAAGTAACAACAGCAGGAACACTTGCAAGATTAAGAATCTACCATGAATACTGTGTAAAAAAGCAATAGAAACAGGCTATAGAGGATAATTCTGGTCAGTTCATGATCCTGATGAATTTAATTGTGAAAAAGTTAAATTCCAAAAGGATTTGCGTTAAATTTTTGGGAAAGTCTGCAAATATGTTGGTCATCTGCAAACACAATTCTGTGAATAGGGTGACAGTTACCTTTTATCTCTTGATTTTACCTTAGAACTTAATCATTGCTTTTCTTGTTTATATTACTGGAATACTGTCAGACTTATTGCTTGAAATTATTTCAGATTTTCCTTAAAATATTCTCACACTTATCTTTTTATGTCAGTTAATGAATATCTTTGTTTCAGGTACAAGTAGGCCTGCCAATCAAGCAGAAGAATCCAGGAACTGAAAAAAGGTGTTACTCAGTTTAGTTAGACTCTATGCAATTAGACTCTAGCAATTATTTATTAGACTCTATGCAACATAAATTAATTCCTTCTAAAGGGTGGAATCTCACATTTAATACTATTACTCTTTAGAAAATAGAATAATGTTGAAGAATTAAGTCAGTACATAATTTTATCTCACATTAAAAAACACTTTAACATCACAATGTGTCTTCCAAGAGTCCTGAGGAAAGAACAGGGTGGTTACTTTACTTTTCCAATATTATTGTTTATTATGATAGAAGCTAAAATATTTTAAAACTATTGGAATTTTTCTTTTCTTTCTCTTTAAAGTGCTCCCCTTGAAGGCTAGAATTCTCAAATGGAACAAAGGACTCTCCATTTATTGAAAAAAAATTTTTTTTTAATGTTTTTCATTAAATAGTGAGCAGTTTTTTAATGCTTAATACCTTTGGAATTCCAAATTCTCAATTATAATATGCCATTTGAGAATCAATGTGCTTAAAGTAAATTGAGGGGATAGTTTACCTTACATAATTGAAATGGGTTGACTCAATTTGAGTATTTTTTTAGTAATTTCTTAACATTTTGATTATTTTTTGAGATTGTGATCAGTTTCTATTAGAAAAAGATAGTGAGAGACTATTTTTCTCAATGACTCTATCTCATTACTTTAATAAAAGGAGAAAGTTCTGAGAGCAATTGTTTGTTCAATATTTTGTAGTTTAAAAAGAAGAGAAAGTTTAAACAATTTGAAAAATCTATATCATAGAATGCAGAACCAAAGTTTACCAAATGCTCAATTCAATCAATTGTACTAATATGATCTTTTGAACTTTACTTTTCAGTTCCAAATCTGTTATGAGTAAGGTACTTGGAAAAATGCAATCATTTTCCCCAAGGAAATCAACTTCTTCACCAAAAGAGAGATATTCTGTTGAAAGTTCTGGTGTTAATGGAAAACTGCCATCTCAAAAGGCACAAATTAGTGTAAATCGCAGCAGGTAAGTGCTGAACAGTGGAAAGAGTAAATTGAAAATTATCCAATACTGTTACTTCTGATTGCACTTCATTATATCATTCTACCACTCCTGTTATAAAAAAGTTATGAATGACACTTGACACTTACAATAAAGGCATAGAAAAAAATTAAAATCGGTTTATATAATGAGAGCAGGATCATTATTTTTTCATTATATATGAAAGGTAAGAAAATAAACAAACCAGTAGTGATACAAACTGGCATAGACATTCTCTTAGTTTTCTAATTTCTTTAGTGTGAGCTCGTTATTCAGTTCTGCCCCACCCTTGTCCCAACTTCTATTGCTGCCTAAAAGTCATTTTTTCACATTTTCTCAATTCTTTGCTCCCTAAAGATAGAATTGAAAAATGACATTAAGAATATTATAGAAGAGTAAAACCTAATTCTATATACAAATTTTTGTTGAAAATTTGGAGCTGTTTTTGGGAAAATGTCATTTGAGTGTTTCTGAAACCATGCAATATTAAGCTTATTTCTCCAGAAAACTTTTCAGTTTTCGGGAAATTTCATTATAAATCATTTGAAGCACTTCTGCTCACTAATGCTATAATGTCCTTAATAATAACTTCAATAATGTGAGAAATATTTCAAAAAGATTATGTTTACACAAATTATTTAATTTTTGAAAGAAAAAGAAAAAAAGAGCAAAAAAATCTTATACAGTGCATTTGGCTCTACCTCTACAAAAAGTTTGAAGAAAAAAATTGGAGCAGATTTTGAGAACATCTTGCTTTTAATATTTTTAATGTTGCCCACATTTCTCTCAAAAGTGCAGGTGAACTTCAGAAATCTTACATTACATGAATTAAAATACTGATTGTGGAGAATAAATTTCATTTTCAAAAAATGATTGGCATCTTCAATATTGTTGTAGGAAGACACGGGGAAAAAATTCAAACTTTTGCAATTTTCAAAAATTCAGAATTAGCAGCAAAACTTGGCCTATGCTATTGTATTCTATTCTTACATGAATTTTAAAGAAAAAAATTTGGAGTTATTTTTGAGAAATTTTAAAAATGTTGCAGAGGCTTCTTTTAAAGTACCCCTAAAATTTAAAATGTTTATTAAAATCACAGTGCTTAGAGTTAGGTGAGATTGACTGGACACTATGTATTTTCAAAACAATCATAGGAATGGATAGTGTTGTTCGTGGAAGGATGGATGAATGTTTTGAAAACAACCCTTTTTCCGTTATCAGGGTTCCCCAAAACGTGTATATCCATTAAAGTCTTGATATTTATTTTTCATAACTTAACATAACTATCTCTATTCTGTGTTCATAACTATCTCTTATATACAGAGATTTTACTCTGTATTTATATGTCTGTATGAGAAAGAAAAAACTGCTGAAACATTAATTGGAGTGGAATCTTCAAGTCCTCAAGAAATTAAAAAATATCTGTAGTTAAATTTAGAATGTGTTCTTTATTTCAGGTCTGACAGCACTATCCATTCATTGAAGAAGAAAGAACAAATGGAAAAACCATCAAAGTGGGCTCTTAAAGAGACATCAAGATTTTCAAATGCAGTGCAGTCACCACAAACAAAGCAGAAACAAGCAGTGAATTCGGGAAGAGTTATTAAGCCCCCAAAACCACTTCCCAAGGTATGAATAATTATTATTATGTATTGAAGGTAAGAAAGACAATGTCAAAAAATGTAGAACAATTATATACAATCCTAATCATATACTAACAGTCCAGGATCTTGTATTGCAAAAACAGGCATGTGGATCTAAGAATTTCATTTAGTACTTGGATATTTATCTTTTAAAAGAAGATATATCTTAATCCAGAACTTGTTAGCCTGTGTGAACCTGTATTTAATTGTCAGTATTTTAATAGTAATATGTAGTTGTAATAGTAACCTGATTAATGAATAATGTAAATTAGATGTACTTTTTACTACGTAATGCTTACATTACAACAGCATGCATTTTTTAGAATTGAAATTATTTCAATAATTTAATTATCTCGCACACATTTATCTAATAAGAAACCTTATTTTTTCTTTCTTTAAATCATTAAAATATTCCCCAAGGTTTTACAATCGAGTTAAAATCTTGCTGCATTTTTCTTGGTTGGTATTATGTCTTTATTGATGGAAAAATATATGAAGAAAACAACTGAGACACTTAGTGAAACTTACCAATAGTTTACTTTTAAAAGGAGCTAACAACTAATTAGCCTACACAACAGATGTGCTGTTTTGTCTATAATTATATTAAAATGAAATGGAAAAATGTTTTTATGTTTTAGATGTTCAGAAACAAGAAGAACTTGCTTACCGGCAAGGAAAACAAGCCATGAATCTTAATTTTTACAGTCAATTTTTTATTGTAATGACTGTTATCAGAAGTTTGATTTTTATTTCTAAAATGTAAACAGAAAAATGCAGTTATGTGGAGTGTTCTTAGAGCGAAACAATTGTACTGAACTATTTTATTTTAGAAATAAGTGACAGCTATTAAGGCCTTTACTGCTGATGTACCTAAACAATTGCTTACTACTTTCACAATTCAGTAAAAATAATTTAATGAAAAAGTATTATATTAACTATTTAAGTAATGTATTGTATTAACTGTATTTTCTGTTACATAAAATTTCAAATTAAAGAACACAAATATGTGGAAGAATCTTGTAACAATAAAGAATGAGCAGTTTTCAAAAGAGGTCTTTTTGTTAATTTGTAGTTTTACTTCTAGAAAATAGGGGTGCTATAACAGCAGTGTTTCTCACTTTATTGGGAACTGTTATGTAATAATATTGTAATGAGCCACATAGGCGCAATTATTCGTATAATGCGCCGCTGTGAGTCACACTATCATAGAGGGGGGTTGCCATCACACTTAAAGTGCGATGGTCGTTTCCAGACACCAGAATGCGTGCACTGAATTTATTTCGGAGGGCGCCAAGCGCATGCCTTACCTGTGATCTGGGCACCGGTGTTGACATCATCAGGGGTGGGCACTATGGGTCGAAGGATTGCTTTTGCTTACTGTTTATAAATAATACCTTTTTTTATGTGATCACCCGACCAAAATGGCGGGGACGCGTTTATTGCTATAGAAAATCCTCTTTTACATTACTGTTCCTTCTAGTGCTTTACTCTGGTTATTAACTAAAGTGGGTGTGAAGATTTACAGAAAATGGTGATGATTGAAATTCTGCTACCTCACTCCTGAAAGGATTACATGTCCAAATATCGGCCGGCGACAGTAGATGACCCGTTGAAGTACCTTGGAAGTCTCCTGTAGTCGACAGGAACACGACGCCTGCCTGAGCTGGAGATCGCCCACGGTCGTCCGCGGAATTGAAGCGTCAGTTTTTTGATGCGCGGGTCTCAGGTCATCATACGTCGCCTGGACCGCGTATTATCATTGGCAGCCGAATAATTGTGCTGCGCACGCTCTCGTGTAATTTATGGGTGTTACTCCTACTGTCCTAGCAAGGCATCCGGAATATATTCCGATGCTGGAATAATGGCTGGTAGGACCTGGAGACTAGCGATATTTTTCGTGTGGCTGGAGTCGCCATTGAACACGAAGAACTCTCTTTAATTGTCGACCGCTCGTTCCAACACTTTCTCCAATTCTCAATCCTTTCTAGCGCCGTTCGCTCACCCGATTCCCGTCCCCACCCCTCTCGCAAAATGTCCTATCATGTACTTAGCGCGGAGCTTTCTATAGGCTAGTCTTCTACGGAGCTTCGTGATTTATTGTCACGTAGGAAGTTATGGTGGGCTACTCTCGCCTCTTAATGTGACAGTTCCGGTAGTCAGTCATCTACTGCTACACACAAAGATGGAAGGGTGCGTTTCGGGGGCGGACGCTCGCTGGGGAATACTGGGTTAGCGGCGCACACGCAGCTGCGCGTGTCGAATTATGTCAACGGCGCTCTTCGCCTCGAAATATGTTGATAGAGCGTGACAACGGTCGCGCTTTGCGATGGGTCTTTACGACTCATTGCAGTTTCTGTCTTCAGACATTGCTTGAAAAAGTCCAAACAAATTCAAACAAACTTCCTTTGAAGAAAAAATAAAAACTTTTCTTACTTCTTCAAAAGAAATAAATACGATTTGATCTCAACTGTTACATTTGCAACACATTATACAGTTAATTTCATGTATAAATTGAACATCCAAAACTAAAGGCAATCCAGTCGCCTTATAAATGCATACGACATTTGTTGTCGATACATAATGTCAATCTTGTGTACATTATAGGTTTTCCTGAATTTTAATATAGTTGAATGTTCTTTTTTTTTTACCGTAGAGGCATTTTAACTTTATGTAAATAAAGTCCCCGTATTTTAACCTCTCCCATCCATGTTGCAATCCTATAATGAAATTTTAGAATAATTTCTGAAACTCACATTTCTCAGCATGAAAGATTATATTAAGTAATTCCTCAATAGTATTGTCTGATCGTCCCGATTAGTTCAATCGACTGTATACATTTTTTTTATTTTCGTGAAAAATGAAGTTGTTTGAATCACTTTAACTCACAAATGCAATAGTGTTTACAAATCGCTCGAAATGTGCGTATTAATAGTGTGAGATGTTTAAAAAAATTACATTTGTGGAATTTTTGAGAAACAAAGGAATAACATAAAATTAACTATGTCATATTAAACGGTGCAATTAGCACTATCTATTGGAAAGGTTTGAAGAAAAATTCGGAGCCATTTTTGAAAAAATGAAATTTGAGCGTTTTTGAAAATGCGCAATTTTTAGGTCATTTTTACAGAAAACTGTCGCGTTTTCGAAAGGTTATGTAAAGTATTTGAATCTGCAAATTTAATAATACATACAAATCGCTGTTAATGAGAATATTAACGACGCGGTAGATTGTACATTTTTGCGCGACGCGAGAGAAAAATTACGTGTAGTATCTCTATATGTGTAATTTTTGAAAAAACAAAAGAATAGAGCAATATAGAGTTCATGCCATATCATAGAGAACATTTAACACTATCCAAACAAAGATTAAAGAGAAAATTTGGAGCCGTTTTCGAGAAAATCCTGGATTTGTTATTGTTCTCCGGGGCATCTATAACTTTAATGTCTTAAGTATGAAGAGACTAATTGTGGTTTAGTTTTGTAGTAAATCTTTATTTAAAATAAAACATTTAAGAAATAACTTTAAAATATCTTGGAGTCATGGCAAAAAATAATTGCATGTATTCGAAATAAAAATCTTGTTCCAAAAAGAACGTCTTAATACTTAGACAAAACCTCAACAATGCAAACCGAAAAACAGTTCAATTTATGGTAACAATTGATAAGAAAATATGTGCCCATTATGGGCGGCGTCCATCGCTTCGTTGTTAGTGCTCATTTAGATTTATGTAGTCAAAATAAGAGTACAAAAATGTATGTGACGATGGGGGAGAAGATTAACTGCGCACGTTTTCTTGAGTTCTGGAATCCATTCCCGCCATTTTAACTATAAATAGTTGAAAGGTGAGTAAAAGATTGAAATAAATAAAAATTAATTTTAAAAAAACACAAGATTAGCAATATTTGAAAAAAATAAACATTTTCGTTTCCGAGTGATAGAAAACGTATTTGCATCGGTAAACGAATTGCAAGTATGCTTTCTCTGCATTGCTAACAAAATAGTACCTCGCCCTTACCTCCTCTCCTATCATTACAAGCAAAAGGAGAGTTCAACAAAACGCATGCATAGTGAAGCTTCATGTACTACGCCCAGAAGCAAAACAAGGGTCCATCTCAGAATTTGCTCAATGGATTAGGGAAACTGGACAAAAACTTGATCGAGATGGGGGTCATTGACCCGAAGCTGAAGCACATTGTTTTACAAACATATTAAGTCTTTTACAAAAATATACAATACAAATGTAAACTAATTCAATATATCACTGTTTTGTTTAAATAAACATTTTTATTTTTGATAATCAGTATAGTTTCTAATTGTATAGAAACAGTTATGCAGCGGAAAAGATTTTACTGATAGTGAGATGTTGATATTGACACTTGATGAACGTGATTTTTACGATACCTATTTTCTGCTGTAAGTATAAATATCAGTATTACATGAAAATATGTTCCCACTGTTAAGTAAGTCACTTAAGTAGTAAGTCATTGACCGTGATATGTTGATATAGACAGAACTGTTACTAAGGGGGCGAGAAAGTATGAGCTGTTTTACCGCCACTAATTTCTCCTCGTACAGATTTTGGCTTCTACGTCAGGTTATAACGCTGTTGAACCCCTTGTATACTGATGAAGTATGAATTATTATATTCCAAGTAGAGTGGCACATGATGGAAATCATATATTTGCACATTTACGAAGAAATATATTTTTCGATTTCTGAATCGTTTTAATTCCATTTTTCCGAAGAAATGGGCACATGTGTGCAGCCTATCACCTCTTTATTTCCAGGAAAGTTCGCTATTCTAAAAATAAAAAAGACAACACTTGCCTTATTTGATAGGTTTTGGACCCCCGTGGAAATACCACATACTGGGGGGAAGAGAAGGATTTGCAAAAGAAATGAACTTTTTATTTACTTAATCGCACTCTCTGATGACAAAATTTCATTACAATAGCTGGAGGAAATGTTATTGTTCGAGTCATCCGTTCGAAAAGAGTGAAGAAAAAATTTGGAACCATTTTTAAGAAATTGGCATTTGAGCGTTTGTGACGATGAGGAATTTTTAGTTAGTTTTCACAGAAAATGGATGAGTTTTCGGGAACCAATATCTCACATTATTTAAAGCACATTTACTCATAATTACAATAATGTAAACAAATTGACGCTAGTATAAATACTAACAATGCGAGAAACAAGTCAAAAATTTACATTTTTGTTATTTTTCAAACAACAATGGGATAGAACTGTATGGCATCTATGCCATCTTATAGAGTACATTTAGCACTATCCCTATCAAAAGTTTAAAGAAATTGAAGCCGTTTTCTGAAAAATCTTGTTTTTGTAATTTTTTAATTTTGCACATATTGCTCGCAAAATTGCGCGAAAACGACTCAAATTTTAAAAGAATGTACCCGACCTTAATGAATTAACTCATTATGAAGAACAAATTGTATTTGAAGGAAAAAGCTTTATTTTCAATTTTGTAGTTGTAGGAAGACATCGAAGAACATTCAAACTTCTAAAATTTTCGAAAATTTGAAGTTAAACCTGAAGATTTGACTTATGCCACCTTTATACGTGTGTTTTACTCTATTCTTATAAGAAATGTAAAGTAAAAGTTTGAATCGTTTTTGAGAAAATTTTGAAAATGTCCGTGGGTCTTCATGTGGAGTACCCCAAAATTTTAAAGTTTTTTTTAAATCTCAACGATTCGACTCGAGTGACATCAACACGGGTTTCTTCAATTTGAAAAAAATCCTATGCATGGTAGATTTTACTGGTGTTCATAGACGGACAGATAGACGGTCGTTTTGAAAAGAACCACTTTTCGGTATCAGGGGACCACAAAACGTGTATTTTCGTTGAAATATCAAAAACGATTTCCCGCAATATTAAATAAATTTCCCTATACTACGTACATTACTCGGTATGTATGTACCTATACGGGAAAGGAAAAGGATATATTTTTGAACTAATTGCTTATTCTGGATTCTTGGTTTGTAAATACACAAAAGGGAAACATCAAAATTATCTTCCATGAGCATACATGCTCTACTTGAAC